ACTTGCTGACAAGAATACTGTGGGAGACCGTGTCAAAAGCTTTGCTAAAGTCAAGAAACAATACATCCACTGCTTTCCCTTCATCCACAGAACCAGTAATCTCATCATAAAAGGCGATTAGATTAGTCAGGCATGACCTTCCCTTGGTGAATCCATGCTGGCTGTTCCTGATCACTTTCCTCTCATGCAAGTGCTTCAGGATTGATTCTTTGAGGACCTGCTCCATGATTTTTCCAGGGACTGAGGTGAGGCTGACTGGCCTGTAGTGATGTGTAATCGAGCCATACTTCTGGATTCATGTTCATCATATGACTTTTATTATTTATGTTAAAATAACTTATGTTGTGCAGTAATGTCCATTGCACTCACAGGGCAAGATATATTCCCTGCTCCAGAGAACACAACCTGTTTAAACGTTTCTAGCATGTGGGTGCTCTGTACATAAATTAGGAGACACCAGTTTAGATACAAAAGTGTAAAATAACAAAAAAAAATCTTCCCCACCAAAGAAACCCCCCAAAAAGTCTTCCTTTCTTTGTCTTATAACACTTCCTGAATTGAGTAAGTCTCAGTAACTCTTCCAGGAGGAATTATGTTGGGCTGCTTCATCTACATTATTGATGGAAGGCCTGTAAGCGAGGGCTGGAATGTCATTCCTGCGGTAACATTATCCAGGCTGCTAAAGGGTTACAGCTGCTCAGTGCTTCTATTCTTGGAGCTCTGGCTTTTCTAAAAGGTAAGCTCTGGGAATCATTTTCGGGAAGTTCTCTGGCCTGCGTTATACAGGAGGTCAGACTAGATGATCAGAATGGTCCCTTTGGAATATGCATATTTAAAATAAGACAAACACAGGACGTTCCTGAATTTCTCAAGTTAAACCTCCTCATCAAAAAGGTATCATTTGCCATCAAATGATGGGAGAAGATAGTAATGGCACCGCAGTGTATTTATCAAGGCATGAGATGGATTTTTTTATTGTTAGAAGCCTTTATATCAAGAGTGTACCCTTCTAATAGCTATAGCCTAGGTCAGTTGCAAATTACTGGGCTCAGTGTAGGAGGTAGTGGGTGAAATACGGCCTCTATTATGCAGGAAGTCAGAATGGTCCCTTCTGGCCTTAAAATCTTGGAATCCATGGAACCAACTGTCATTTCCTTTACTCTGACAAGTGATGAGCTCCATTCTGCAATTTTTTTTGCCCCTCATGGAAATTTTATTTTTTTTTGTACTTTGTTGTTGTTCCTTACCTACTGCTATTTATTTATGTATTTCTAACACAGAGAACTCTCTATTCCTTCTGCTCATGGGAGAAACCCTGTCTGTTTGTCTGTCCTGTCTCAGGATTTCCTCTGTGATGACCTTTCAGAATCTGCACTTTTCCATGCTTGTTCTTTACCAAATACCTGACTCAACTGCTTTAACTCCTGCATTGGTTATGCTTGGAAAAGGCCCTTTGCAGTTTATATGCACCAGGGAAGATGCAATTTGAGGTCAGTGCCAGGATATCACTGAGAGCCACCAGTTCCCAGGCAAAGCACCTTAGGTGTGTCCTGGCCTCCTCAGAAGTTGACTGTATAGGCCTATAGATTTGAAATGATCAAATGACTGCCCTGCTGGGAGGTGGAATCCTGCACCAGAACAGTCTGCTTCCATGAAGTTAAGCACCACAGTGCTGGTTAGATGTCTTGCAAGTGGTAACTGAACTTCAGATCATCAGTGTCAGAGATGGAATCTCTGGGAATGGCAGAGTTTAACATGTCCCATGTCACATTTGACTCTGATTTGGAGATTAGGTTGGGTTTCGCCCCCACTAAACTGGAGATCACCTTGCACATCTTGACTGTCCTCAACCTGTGCCAGTCTCTTAGAGCTTTTCAGACACCATTGACCTGTCATAGTCAATGTGTCAAACCAAGTTCAGAATACCTTTTCACTGGTATGTGGTCTATGGAATGTGTGTCTTATGGCTGATGGGACTGTACAGGTGCTGAATGCACTGAGAAGTTGAGGCACACTTTCATTACTGAGCTTGCTGGAAGCTGACATGCCAGGGTTTGCCATTTTTGGGGGACGGCAGCCTTTTGTTTCCTTGAAGTAGTCTGGATTAGTAATCATGCCAAGATACTTGATGCATTTGGGTCTAGGTATCTCCTTTCCCCACATAGTTCAACAATTCATACCAGGAGGAACATGATTCTTTGGAAGACTATTTGCAGAATATGTGGGAATCGCCATCAGACAGATTTTGAACGACTGATTTGCTCCAAGAGAATACAAGTTTTTTCCAAATGTTACTGACCCTATCTTGTGCCCGTGAGGCCTTCATAAGGAAGGCCTTTCCTAAATGGGAAAAATATTTCAGTATAATCTAAGGTGTGAATTTAAACCAACATAGTTACACCAGTATAGCCCCCAGTCTGGACACACTTATTCTGATATGAGTGACTTTATTTGGTTTAGTTTGTTGCTTGGGAAGGGGTTTAGTTAAACTAAGCTAAAAGCCACTTTTATACCAAAATGAGTGTCCTCATAGGGCAGTATAACTAAATGGGTATAACTAGTCAAGCTTTCTCATGTAGACAAGTTCTAAATGTGTCATGTTCAAACAAAACGACAGATGAACTCTGTCTCTCCTTAGCATGACCCAATTCATATTCCAGAATATAATCCTGTGCCTGCAAATATGAATGCACAATTGGTGCATTCACCTAGTCTTGATAACTTGTCATTTAAGATGGACTTAACAGGACAGCATTAGGCGCTTGACATCAGACACTGTTACCAGGCCAGTGGACAGCACATATGAATGGGAATAGTCCAAGTACCACCTTCTCCTCCTCTATTGCAACTGATCATCAATAAAGCCCATTTAGTCACTGATTCTGCAGCATTCCTCTGAAAGAAGCAAATTTCCCATTTGCCCACAGGAAGACCATGGAAAGCCAGGATTTTGCAAAGGTTAGCCATGATCTGATAATGTCAGTGGATTGCCACTCCAACACAAGAACTAAAGGCTCTTCCTTATGGGGTGGAATGGTAGCTATGACTCCACTGCCAGCCCTGTCAAGCCTACTCTTTCAGCTAGTATCTAAAGGGGACTACCGAATCCCTACCCACCTGAACCATTTTGTAGTATCACTGGTACTGCTCCTTGCTCCTTTGTCCTACATTTAGGTCACCAGTCTGAAATCTTTGGCTTCACCCATACATAGGGCTCTACCAAATTCACGGCCATGAAAAACACGTCACACAATCTGTTTTTTTGCGTGCTTTTACCCTATCCTATACAAATTTCCTGGGGGAGACCAGAGTTTCCCAAACTGGGGGTCGTGACACACAAGGAAGTTGAAGGGGAGTCACAGTATTGCCTCCCTTATTTCTGCGCTGACTTCGGAGCTGGGATGTTGGAGAGCGGCAGGTGTTGGCCAGGCACCCAGCTTTGAAGGCAGCATCCAACCAAGTATAAGTAAGGGTGGCAATACCATACCATACCATGCCACCCTTATTTGTGCTCTGCTGTCTTCAGAGTTAGGCGGCTGGAGAGTGGAGGGTGCTGACTGAGGGCCCAGCTCTGCAGGCAGCAGCGCAGAAGTAAGGGTGACCATACCATACCTGCCATCCTTACTTCTGCGCTGCTGCTGGCGGTGACTCTGCCTTCAGAGCTGGGCTCCCAACCAGCAGCTGCCACCGCTCTCCAGCTGCCCAACTCTGAAGGCAGTGCCACCAACAGCAGCAGTGCAGAAGTAAGGGTAGCGGTGCTCCACACGACCCCCCTACAATAACCTTGTGACCCCCGACAATTACAACACCGTGAAATTTCAGATTTAAATAGCTAAAATCATGAAATTTGCAACTTTTAAAATCCTATGATCATGAATTGGCCCTATTCATACACCAGGATCTTGTGTCAAGTTTCCCAAGCAAAATCTGCCCGCCCGCGCGCACACACACAAAAGCTATCATAAAGCAATTTTGACTTGAAATAGAAGATGTTGATCTAGTAGTTACTTATGTATCTCAGTTGTGAACCAAAGCCTTCAGCATCTCCATTCTAATGTAACGCTCATCCTAAGAACTGAAGAGGGAAATTGATTCCACTCTTTCACCATTTTGCAGGTGCCAAAAACATTGCATGGGTAAGGATGCAATGCAGTCTGAGAGAGAAGAGTTGCTTGGTAAATGAGAAGCCACTATAGAGTTTGCAATGCCTCCTATGTCTCTAGCTCTCATTTATAAAGAATTTAATGAGTTTCTCAGGAATGGGCTGTACTTTGGGTAGTCGTTCTTGACACCACCTAGAGATATTCTGGATCCTTTCCAGGGCTGTCCATTAAGTCTGCCAAGTGTCTTGAGCAAGAGACCATTCCATCCCCAAGTACCTGATGCATAAATGCAGCAAAGTATTTCAGCCATCACTTTGGGCTCCTGATCCGGGTCTGTTGAAGCCGCTGTTCCTAATTAGGAAAGTGTCTGTCATGTTGTTATTCAAACCAGGTATATGATGATATGTGTTAGACACTCAGGGTCACATTTTAAAAGATGCACATGCACTCTTGAATGACCCAAATTTTGAAGAAAACCACCTACAGTGCATTTGCAATTTGAAGGTTATTTGCGTAGAACCTGTCCTAACTGGGCTTAGCTAAACTCAACCACTTTTCATAGTCTAAATGCAGGATAACACTTCGCTCCATTTTAGCAGATTGAATTATAATAGGCTACAGTTCAAAATCACTGGGAAACAGAGGCAGCAAATATCCTTCTTAACCAGCATGTGCTTGTATATGCATATCTAGTCTGTTCAACCCATTGTGATCAATTTTTTATAGTACAGTTTGCAGTGAGTATAATATCAAGTATTTAAATGAATGAACATAGGAAAACATGGAGAATGTAGCACAGAACACTATGTAGAGTTCCTGTGTTTGCTTTTCTTTAGCTTGCTCGAAAGATTTTTCTCAGAAGCACTATATAATGTGTGTTTGATTTGTGTATTTAAGTTTCAGACAGTGAAGAGGATGATGATATTAAAACAGTGCAAATGAGTTTTCAAGAAACAAAGAAACAGGAAGGTAGTCTTAATTTTAATTTTTCTTCTGTGTTTGTGAGTACCTTTTGACAGAGAATGTACAAGAAACTAAACTGTAACTTAATTTTATGCGACATGTCCTATAAAGAATACTGTCCAAAATGTTTAAGTACAGTAATTCCTCACTTAAAGTTGTCCCGGTTAACGTTGTTTCGTTGCTGGTCAGTTAGAGAACATGCTCATTTAAAGTTGCGCAATGTTCCCTTATAACGTTGTTTGGGAGCTGCGTGCTCTGTCCACTGCTTGCAGAAACAACAGCCCGCTGCAGCTAGCTGACTGGGGCTTGGGACCAGGGTGGACCGGCAGCCCCCCTATTAGCTTCCCGCTCCCCTAAGTTCCCTGTGCGGCAGCTGCCCAGCAGGCTGTCAGTTCCCGGCAGTTCAGCTGTCCCTTTCCCCAGTGCCATGTGCTGCTCCTGTCCTCCTCCCAGGAGCTTCCTGCTTGCTGTGCGGGGGGAAAAGGAGGGCTAATGTCAGGGTGTCCCCCGCTTACCCCATCTCTGTAGAGCGGGGGGGATACAACTGGGTCAATGGAGGGAGCTTGCTGGCAGCAGCTGCTGTCTCAACTTGCTGATCTACTTAGAGTGGAGTCAGCATACTTAAAGGGGCAATGCGCATTTCTCTCACACACACACACACACACACACACACACACACACACACACACGGTGTGTGTCTCTGTCTGCCATGCTGTCTCCCCTCCCTCCATTTGTGCTGCCCTGTAGAGTGTGGGACTACGTTAACAACTTGTTAACCCTTGAGGGCTCAGTTGAGTGCTAGTTCATCATTTAGCAGTAAGGCATTCCCTGGGAAATAGCCCACCTTCTTACTTCACCACCTCAACCAAGCTTCACAAATCATCATTGCTGTGTATAGTATTAAATTTATTTGTTTGTTTAAAACTTATACTGTCAATATAATATAGTCCTTTGTCTGGTGGAAAAAAAATTCCCTGAAACCTAACCACCCTAATTTACATTAATTCTTATGGGGAAATTGGATTCGCTTAACATCGTTTCACTTAAAGTCATATTTTTCAGGAACATAACTACAACGTTAAGCGAAGAGTTACTGTATCTGTTTTTGCTTTATTGAACACTCATGAGTAGTGAGTATAGTGTTGAGGTATAAAGAAAAAACTTCATGCCAGCCAGAAAAATATGTGTCAGGCTAAGAATCTATTTCCACTGATTTACACAGGCTTAATAAGTCAGTTCAGGGTTAGTTGCTATATCTCAGCTTGGCACTCTAGTCTCCTGAAGGGGAGCTGTAAACTCTCACACAGTTACACATGAACAGGTTGAATTAATATATCTTACCTTACCTATTGGTAAATAATTCTGATACTTTCCCTATCATGCTTATTGTTGCTGTTCATCGCATGCTGTACTTTACTTATTCATTTTTGTTGATTACTGATGTACTGTCAAAGTACTATGTTGCATAAAGGTTTGATTCAATCCTCTTGCCTCCAACATACGTGTAAGTTAAAACAACACAGTAACATAAGACCGCTTTGTAATTGAGACTTGAACAAAGTCAAGATGTAATTGAATCTAATGTACATATAGTTTAATTAGATTTACCAGATATTACCAAGTGTTGTTACTAAAGTCTAACTTGGTCAGCATTCTAGACTTGTTTTTAAAAATACTTATATTAGCATCACTTATTTAAATGCATATGGAGTTCTGGGAGGCAGTTGGTTGTAAAGCTCGTTTTCCTCTTAATTTAGTTCCAGAATATGTGTGTTCATTCTGCACTTTGTTGCTCATTGGCTTTGTACTGGTTCCCTTTGAGAAACTAGGGGCTTGTGTAAACGGCTGGTGAGTGCCCAGCAAGCCAGGGTGAGTGCACCAGCTTGCTGTGCAGTAACTCACCATGTAGGCACTGCTACAGTGCACTGGAAGTCCCAGAGCAGCTTAGTGTACTTCACGACAAGCTGGTGCGCTGTAGAGTCATACTCTGGCTTGCCATGTAGACAATACTTAAGAGCAAGATAAAATTGTTAGGAAAATGGTTGTGGATCTTAGGGATGTGATAGAACAAGAAATAGGCTCTTTTTGTTTAAACAGATTGTAAAATCCCCTGAGGAGTGATTTTGTTTTCCTATAGTCAACAATTCTTTATTTGTAGGGCACACTATAAAGAAGGGCTAGAAAAAATGACTGAGAATGATCAGGGTTTACCAGTAAGTCTGACCAGTTCACCTACTGGCTGCTTGTAGATGTTGACTAGGACCAGGGAAAGAAATGATCCTTGTGGGATTCCACAAATGAGTGGCCTGGTAGTAGAGGTACAGTTTTCCATCAGAACCCATTTTAGCACATCGACCGGGACCCCGGGTACCTTTCTCAGATGAGACAGCAGTATCATATGGGTGACAGTGTAGAATGCTGGAGGGAGGTCCAGGAGGATGAGAGTGGATGTCTGTCCTCTATCCATTGACAGCAGGAGATCATCCATCTATGACACTAAAGTGGTTTCAGCTCCATGGCCTGGCCTGATTCTCTACTGTGCTGGGTCTAGGATATTAGATTTAGTTAGAACCTGAACCTGACTGAATAAAAATGAAAACATTTTAAACTTGTATTATAGTAATTCAAATACCTCTTCTTTTGTGGCAATAGTCAAGATTTCCATCACTGTGAAAAATTATTCAACCTTTGTCCCATTTTTTATGTGCTTGTGAATCTGACTGGCCTCCTTAAACAGAGGAGAAATTAAATTGTCGTTTATTTCATTAACCTGTGATCTTAACAAGTACTAAAACTGCCTTGGGTTACCTCAAGCACAGTTTTTCTGTTAGTGAATTTTGTGCTGCAGTGGCAGCATTGAAAACTAATGTCTTCTCCTTATCCAAATCACAGGCCACAAGAATGTAAGTTGTTCTTTGAGTGCTTGATCATGTCGATTCCATTCTAGGTGTGCGCATGCTCACATACATGGTCGTCGGAGATTTTTGCCTTAGCGGTATCCGTAGGGCCAGCTGTAGCGCCCCCTTGAGTGCCGCACTCATGCGTCGGTATATCAAGTGCCGCCGGCCCTATGCCCTCTCAGTTCCTTCTTATCACCTGTGGTGATTAGGGCTAGCGGTTTTGTCTCTTCTGATTTCGAGCCTTAGGGCCTTGTAAATAGCTTGTCTATAGTAGTTATGTTAAGTAGTTGTTAATTGTAGTTAGAAGTTAGAGTCCCAGTGGGGACTTTGCCTCAGTTGGGGCATGCCCCGGTCTCCAGGGTTTAAGCCCTGTCCAGACTGTAACAGGCCTATGCCTGTAAGTGACACCCACAGCAGCTGCCACAAGTGCTTGGGGGAATCGCATGTGAAGGACAAGTGTTGTATTTGTAAAATTTTTTGACCCAGGACTCAGAAAGTATGGGATATTCGTTTGCGGGCTCTCCTCATGGAGGCTGCCCTTCGTCCGGCTTCTGAGCTGTCCTGCCAAGACTCACCTAATACATCGGCCTTGGTGCTCCGCACACCCCCCGGCATCCGGCTCCGCTCATTACCGCTCCCCGTTGCCAGTGCCCAAAAAGAAAACAAAGAAGCACAGCTCCCCAGTACTGGGCAAGAAGGGCAATGGGACATGGAGCAAAGGACCCAGTTTGGGCCGCCCGGCCACTCTGGAGCCACGTGTACGTACCTCCCCAGATGGGGTCCTTAACCCCTTAAAGGATCCACCAACGACTCCCAGGAGTGGTAAGGGATCCAGATTCCTGACGGCATCGACACCTTCCCTGGCTTCCCTGGTGCCAAGAGAGCAGTGGCCTGCACCTGCCCCGCTGGCACTGGACGTGCCACAGGAAACAGCAAAGGCTCCCTACAAGGGCAAGCCAACCACTAATACCCCTCAGGGGGAAGTGGAGCACCACTTATCACCCAAGACAAGGCAGCGCTCTCCTCCTCCGCGCCGCAGATCTCCGGAGTCACAGCCCAGATTCTCTGGGCTCACCCTTGCTCACCGGCACTGTGATCGTGGTCCCCGCCAACTCGATGCGGATTTCCTAGGGGGAGGCGCCAGTGCCATACTACCAGTACCGTTCGCCCTCCCACCAGTTGTCCTCTCAGCGCAGCTCTCTGTCGCCTGCCCCGTGGGAGCGCTCCCCGTCATGACTCTGGTCCCCCTGGCACCGGTCCCCTCAATACTGGCGCCGGTCCTCTTACTCCGGGCCTCAACGGTCAGCAGGCAGACACAGTTGTTGGCGGCCCCATCATGGTCACCGGAAGGGGATTCTTCTGGAACGGAAGGGCAGTTCTGCCCCTTGCCCAGACTCCACCAGCACGACTGGGCACCTGAAGCTGCCTTGGAAGCCCGGCCAGTGACCAGCACAGTGGTCTTTTTGGAGTGCATGGGACATGCTGGTCATGACAGTGCCCCCTTCACACCGCTCAACTGCCACTGACTTGGAGCAACAGTTGGCGGCAACAACAGCACCAGGCTTAGTGCATGAGTCGCGTTCAGAGGTCAGGGTAGAGGAGACTGAACCCACCCGTAAACCTCCCTCCCCCATGGGGGATGATGCTCCGGGGCCTCCTCCAGTGGTACAGTCATCTTCATCCCAGGACGAGGCAGTCGTGGGACCCTCGAGGTCCAGCCCGCCTGATGATTTTAAAGAACACCAGGCCCTGCTTTGACGGGTGGCCAAGAACTTGGGCCTAGAGGTGGAGGAGATGGCCGAGCAGGCGGACGCCTTGTTCAAAATCCTCTCAACCGCTGCCTGTGTTGCACTACCAGTGCATGATAGGGTCCTCAAAATTGCCAACGCCCTCCGGCAAACCCCGTCATCCATCCCTTCCCCCCCTCCAAAAGGGCCGAAAAGAAGTACTTTCTCCGAGCCAAAGCATTTATATCCACCCACCTCTGGGCTCGCTGGTTGTCTCTGCAGCCAACGAAAAATACAAGACCAGCTCAATTCCCAAAAATAGAGGCCAAAAAACTAGATCTTTCTGGGAGAAAAATGTATTCCACTGGCAGCCTGCAGT